CATCTCTCCCACTCAATCGCTTGTAAAGCAGATTGTCAACCAGTTCCCTGACAACCCTGATGGATCCAAAGGTCCCATATCTCCGCCTGTGGTTAAAACCAAACCAAAATGGCAGCCAGGAGGGCAGGCTCAACCACAATCTCCTGAATTTCCTCCACCTCCACCAGAGAGTACCCTTGAATTCCCTCCCCCTCCTGCTCCAAGTCCCCCTCCTGCCCCACAGACCTCTGGCAAGATGGGATCACCAATCAAAAAGTCCCCATCGACGTCGTCAAATTCTTCTACTGGTTCAGGAGGGAAGAAGCCTCCTCCAACCCCACAGCGCAACTCCAGCATGAAGTCCACCTCTTCCGTTGAGTACCAGGAGTCCAAGAAAGTGGAGGATCTGGTCAGCATGTTTGCCCAAACCAGTCAAGCCCCTCCCAGATCCTTCTCAACTCCATCCTCTACAACAGGATCACCTTCCAAGGACTCTTCCACAGGACTACGTGCACCACCAAAACCAGGCAAGATCAACTTGGCTAATCTGCCTCTGGCTCTCCAGGGGAAGCAAGGTCAATATCAGCAATCCAGCTCAGACTTCCCCTCTCCTCCTCCCGAATGTGACTTTCCCCCTCCACCACCAGACTCAGAACTCCTGCCTCCTCCACCTCTACCATCAGAACTGCACACCGGGGCTCCTAAAGTGGCTGTGGTGAACCCTCAACCCCAACACACATCCAGCTCCACATCCTCATGGAAGCAAAGCTCCTTGAAGAAAGTGCCCCCTCCGACTTCGCACCGCCACAGCAGTGGCCCACCTGAGTCGCTTGCCCTTTCTCCACCTCCTCAACAGATGCCTCTGTCCTCTTTTAACTCTCAGATCCCACCAACTTCCCCCAAGGCCAGTCTGTCCATCCAGCCCAACTTCTTGGAAGACCTCAACAGAACTCTCAAAAGGAAGTCCATGACTCGACATGGCTCCCTCACATCCTCAAGAATCTCGGCCAAGCTGGAGCCAGTAACCACCATGGACGATATGGCCCTTCCGCCCCCTCCTCCAGAGCTGCTGCTGGGTCAGCAGAAAAAGGGCGGATACATGAGTGCCAACATCTCAGGCTATGCAACATTACGGCGGGGTCCTCCGCCGGCTCCACCCAAACGGGACCAAAACACTAAACTGACAAGCGAGTGGTAGTTGGGACATGTGCCGAGTATGGATATGCTACTCTCCTTTTCCACTCCGTTTATCTTCAACGACTGAAACGTCTGCATTAAAATAATACTCATTTTAACCCCAGATTATAACCACAATATGAAAAAGCCAAACCATCTATACATAAGCTTCTCTGCGTGTTTGTTCCGCTTTGCTATTAAGTGTAGCAGATATACAAAAATACTGAGAAAAAGACTGACGTTGTTATTATAGGTACTGCATGGACACTGCTGTGAGGAAAGGGGATAATGTATATGTATACATATATATGTGGAACTCTGGGGTGGGAGGGAACTTGTACTTTTTTATATGAAATTATTTAATACCTGAAATATATTCTTATTTTAAAGTTTAGTTTTGAAACCCTTGACTGTAAACGTTAAACGTGAATAGAATATTAGGGTTGTTGAACCGATGTTTGTGTGTGTGTGCGCGCGCATTTTGTCTGAGTGATTTGGTTGATCCACTCTCAGAAAAACAATGAGGGCCTGGTAATAGTGCCGCCCTTGCTTGTCATTAGACGTGCAAATCCCAATGTGGGAATTGCACTTGTGTAGCATACATTCTGAAAGGAAGTATTCTAACAAATTTTCCACATTTAATTTAAAACATCCACTAAAATGTCAAGAAAGAAAAAAAAAACAGCTACCATTGTTATTGATAAATCTGTTATGTTGTGTCGCTGTGGACCCTTACTTTTCTTGAAGATGTCCAAATGTTAGACAAAAATGAAAATGAGCCTGTTACCACTTGAGTACATCTCTGTGTGTAGCTGGCCTGTGTCTGGGATGGGATGTGATGTCTGTTTATGTTGGTTGCATTGCTATCTATCTGTACATACAGCTGCAGTTCCTGACTTTATCAATGTGCGTTAGCTCTGCATGGGTTAGCTCACACATAAGGAATTGATGTTGTTCTTATTTTGACCTCTGTCTACGCTCAGTGCTGTATTAAAGTGTGTTACATATCTGGAACATCTATCTCTCATGTCATGGCAATGCCACAATGTACTGACTTTAATCTAGCATGCATGCTTCCACAGTATGGTTGCCTAAGATTGAACACTTTGTAGGGTTTTAGGACCATAGCCACAAAATAAAAGGTGTCACGTCAAGTTTACTTGACTTACAATGCAAAGAATTCACTGTGTGCCTACTATCATTGTCATCCCTCTAGCAAACTTGAATGCGTAGGTCGAGAAAACGTGTACCTGTTGGTTTTGTGTCTCTAAAACTCCTCCAGTTTTGAAAGCCTGAACGATGAAATGTAGGAGTAGCTAGAGTTCTTTTTACAGGGAGGAGTACAGAGCTAATGCTGCTTCTTAAAGTCAGGATCCTTCAGAAATCATTCTAATATGCTGATTTGCTGCTTAAAAATATTTCTTGTTATTATCAATGCTGAAAACAGTTGAACTGCTTAATAATTTAATGGAAACCGTAATGTTTTTCCCTAAGATTCTTGGATGAATAGAAAGTTCAAAAGAATGTTATTTATTTGAAACAATATTAAAGGGGTCATATGATGCGAACAAAGCAGAGTCCAGCCCGGGGTCGTCACATGTGGTTGCCACAATCCCGCCGGCCGTTCCTCACTCAAGCCCACCCGCCTCCGCTCACTTAAGCCCAATAGCTGGCCAATCACAGCACACCTCGCTTTTCAGAACAATGAGCTTTGTAAAAATCGACGCGTTTCAGAAAGGCGCGGAATAGAGGAGCAACAATAATGTACATTATGTGGAAAATGTTTTTTGAACCTGAAACCGCATAAACACATTGCATTACACCAAATACACAACATAATGTTCTTTTTAGCAACGTCATATGACCCCTTTAATATAAAATCCCAAAATATATATATTTTTTGTAAAGGTCTTTACTGTGACTTTTGATCAATGTGTTCTTGCTGAATAAAAGTAATTTCCTCTTCTAATTAAAAAAAATAAAATATTTTCACTCAGAAAAAGGTACAAAAGTCTGACAGTACCTTTTCAAAAGGTACTTCTGATATGTACCATTAAGGTACAGTGTACTCTTTAGGTATTAATATGTACCTTTAAGGTACTAGTTTGCATCTTTCAGAGGTGAGTAAGGTACAGAAGAGTACCTTTTAAAAAGGTACCACCCCAGTGACAACTTTGTACAAAAAAAATTCTGAGTGTTGAAAGGTGGTGTAGGCTTTACAAATATTAAATAATACAACAATAATAATACAAATATTAATATTTTCAAGACATTACTGTTTGAATGTGCAATAATGAGCTGTTAAAGGGGTCATATGATGTTGCTAAAAAGAACATTATTTGGTGTATTTGGTGTAATGAAATGTGTTTATGCGGTTTCCTCTCGTTTGAATCATCAGTGGCAAATCCTTTAAATGAAAACGTACTTACAGTCTGTGAGTCAGAACAGCCCCGGCATTGTAGTCTAATCTACCAGGATCAGGATCACCAAGAGCTTGTAACACTCCAAAGAGAAAGGAAAAATTGAAATCGCATCATATGACCCTTTTAAGCACTATATGATTGTTAATGACTTGAAGCGTTTGTAAAGTTTTACTAAAGAACTGAGTTAATGACTATGTCCAATTCATAATTACAGTGATTCTGTATTTAGATCCTCATCTTATGAACTTGATTAAATCATTAATTGTTTCTTACTGAGACACAGCAGCAATCAAAGAAGAGCAGCAGAATGAAGGCTGGCTTCATCCTTTTTCTTTATTTCTAAATTTCTTTCGTAACTCACTTCTTCTATTTTGTCTATATGAATATATTTTTCTCCACTGCAGTGTTCAGTAAACAATCTTCCAGAGATGCGATGCTACAAGCCCTGCCTTGGCTTTAACTGCAAATTAAATGCTTTGCAGTTTTAATTAAACTCTTAATAGAACCTGAAAACATTGTGGTTTAGAATCTGGAAATGGCTGCATATGATCTGTGTGGCTTCTGAAATGTCAACAAAAGTTTTGCAAACTGATTATAACTTAAAGCAATATTATGTCATGTATTTTAATCACTCGCAAGTGATTCCTTTGTTCTCCTTGATATAAAATTTGTACAGGCTTAATCTCTTTATTTTCAACAGTAACAAGGACATAGTTCATTTCCTCAGTATGTTTCAGTTCCAGTACTTTATGGGGCAGTTTGACACAATGGAACCTGCCATAGAAGCCTTTCACATCACTTCACAAAACGTCAATTATGGTGAACAAGTGATGCAATGCTAAATTTCTCCCAATCTATTCGATGGAAAAAAAAAATCGAACTCGTCTACTTCGTCAAATATTCATTGTTGGGAGAACTATTCCTTTAACTAGACTCGTAGTATATAAAAATAATTGCATGAATCATACAAATCGTAAAAAGACAATGTTAAAGGTAACAATCATACCTTAATATTGTTTTGGCTAACAGATATAATTAAGCACTTACCAAACAGTTCTAGTAAAAATACGACAATAATGGAATTCGTATAACATTATCTTGATTTTAAACGAAAAAAGTTACTGAGATGTAATCCTTGGGACATAATTCCGGTCTCATGTAGACAATAATCTAAGAACAATAGGAAATCAGAATTGAACACATTTTACTCCCCCCCCCCACCCTCACCCCCACTTTTTGATTCAGACTAAACAGAACTGCTCATTTGATATCTTGTTCTCACACCATGGACACTTTTCACAGAGCTGAGGTTTGATTTTCACACTTCCACACAAACATCCACTTCCAATTTTTGCTGTGTGGATACTGTAGCTATATATATATTTCTTACTTAAAAATAAAATAACACTATATAAAGACGTGAAGTAAATATGTATAAGATACAAATATGTTGAGAATCTCGTAGCTTCGTCAAAGCAGACGAAATGCTCTTCTTCTCTGTAGCTAACAGCCTGTGGGCGTCTGAGTGTGCAAACCTCCAGCAAGCTTACGTACGTCTCAAGCCATCTGGACCCTGTTCGCTGCCAAGTTACGTAAATCTGAAAAAGAACATGGGCTTGAGCTCTGCACTATAACTACATCTGAGACGACATTTCACTGTCAACGCCCCTCAACACAATCTACACACAGTATGGAAAGAAGTCAAAAACAAAGTTGATCATATACACATTTTTTCACTTTTGTATCTGGATCTGTACACTTTTGCGTCTGACACATAGGGGGCAAAGGTGAAAAGAAAGGTTTACATTTAGAGATTTTGCACATTAGTTTCATCCTCTCACACATGGAAATACTGATGCCCATACATTTATCCGGTTATATATATATATTTGCACACAACAATATAGTTAATGGAGTTAAACTTTACATTTTTTGTCAATTCTCTGATGTCTAGTCATGTGCTTTCAGACAGAGGTAAATTAACCCTCAAAACGTCACATTTTGCCAGGTATTATTGCAGGGTAGGGCGAGAGATATGCTCACCAGACTCTACCCTGTTTTTAAGAGCCTCCATGTGTTCTTTACATAAGATTCAAATTAAATTTCACAATGGAGACACACTGAAGTCTTGCTGATTTTAGGACCTGCAAAATGGAAAACTCTTTTAGTAGCTGGAGAGAAACATCCATGATTGTCAAATAGTAGCTTATACACATTTCAATAATACTACAAAATGGCACAATATATTTAGTAGCATAAACATTTCAAGAGCACCCAAATTAATACGGTCCATGTCACAGGAATGTCTTAAACTGGGTATAAGAGGTCATCAAGAACAAAAACGTGATGAGGACCTAATTAAAATATGGGGTTCTAACACTTTTTTTCCCCGTCAATTTATATGACTTTTGTTTTTTGTGACCTTTATAGTTGATCACGATTATTAGATGATTTTTTCAATGTCAGGTGCCAACAAATGAATGAATAGACAAACTATATTATTGTGTAAATGTCTCAAAATGTCCCACAACCAGAATTATGTTTCACGCAGGCATATCTGCGGTTTTAGCTGATGAAATATTTTAGAACAACTGTAGGAAATGTTAGTCATTGCAATAACTTTTTCAAGACTGGAAATCACTAGTTTAACATTTCCATATATTTCAGGTTTTCCATGATTGTGGGTACCCTAGAATTAAAATGCAAAAGTGGAAAAAAAAAAGAAAAATTAAATGTAAATGAGTTTTTATTAAGCATGCAGTCTATGAAGCACTACATACACTTATCAAATATTTACCAATTGGTTAGCATCACAACACCATATTTATATGTAAAACAAACGAGAAAAAAAAAGTGTTTAAAAGTTCACGAGGTTATTAGATGCGTCTAGTACTGCATGTGTCGAGGCTGATGGTTTCTCATGGGGAAAAATGTTCATAAACATATTAAATATATTTAATGATAAAAAAGTAAAACCAAGGTGAGACCTTTGTGTAAACGAGTCTGACCCTGTGCAGACACCAATTATACTTGCATGTTTGTGCAAATATTTCCTATTTCATAAATCCGGCTGAAACAGATTTTAATTAGGTGGGAGAGAATAAATCATACAATTACTTAAACAATCAAAACACTTTACACAGACACAAATTAAAAAGCCTTGAGCTGTCACATGTAATAAATAGAAAGCTACTTCTCTATATTCACTCTTTCCATTCAGTTCCATACTTTCCTTGTTCCTCAAAATATGCTTGTAATTAATTCCCTTTTTGAACGTGACCTCACTGTAAAACACACCCTGAACCCACCTCAGGCAGTTCAAAAAATACATCTATTTCAGAGACATCAGTCAGCAATGCTGTGGAATGAGCAAAGGTTATGAAATATGGAAAAATAAAAACAATGTTCCCAGTCTAAATCTAGCTTATGCATATACTGTACTTCAAACTCTGTATCCTTCATTCAAGGTAACAGTAAACATATTATTGGCTTTTATTAATATAATCTTAATCTCTAATAGTGTTTTCTCAGTCCTTGTTGCAAAAGTCTGCTCTGCATCATCTGGATGTTCAGCTTCATATCGCTTCCTCTTTTCAGTCACACCACTCGTGTCTTAAGTCTCACGGCCTGTTATTAGCATGGTTTGTATGCACACATGCACTCTTCTGCAGTGTAAGATTAGCGCTGGTGGTTGTTGAGGGTTGGGGAGAGACAGAAGACTCTCACGCCGTGTAGTGCATGATGGACTCCACATAGTTTCCAGGGAAGAGTCCTGTAGTGCCACTCATCACACCTTCATACCAGCCATCATCATTCTTTTTAATGACATAGATGATGTCTCCCTCCTGGAAAGACAATTCATCTTCCTTGTCTCGCATGTAGTCATAGATTGCTACCACTGAAAGCAGGAAAAACAAAGAGACAGCCAAGTTACTAACGACTAAGCCCATGTGGAAATTTGAGCACCAATCATTCACAGTTGTGTTTCTATTAAATTTTTGTGCTAATTTGACGATTCTTTCAGCTATGAATGAAGTCCTATTTGGACAGTAATTGTTTCACATGGGGACATCTGTAACAATAAATTTGTATTGCACCTCAGTCATAAAACTTTTGGATGATTTATTCATGGTCGAGGATTGAGTTCTGTGTTCCTACGAACCCAGGAACACATGGTCAGTTTCATGACTGTCAGCTGTAAGCAGCTGTCTGTTATTGCTTGGACAATGAATAAATGTATATATTTAATTTAAAAATAGGAAAATTATACCCTATTTATTATTTAAATACCTTATTTAAAAATAGGAAAATTGACACAATATAGTTTAAATGGCTTTTGTCTCGCATTTTATCTCTCAAATTGATGGATATCATTTAAAAAATGTGGAAATTAGCAGAATCAAGTTGATGCAAACTTTTATTTACACAAGGAAAATAAACTTATAATAAGCTACTTGATCGACTAGTAAAATTAGTTGTGCAAGACCTGATTTTTAAACTTTATTTGATACCATAATAATGGTCCATTTTAAAAGTTTACATTACTTTCTTTTCTTTTTCTTCTAACAGCTCCCACTGGCTGTAGTGGAGCAGTGACATGACATTATTCTTGTAAAGAGTTTACAGAATTTTATTAATAAAATTGTCCATTTTTAAAAAGCGTGCACTTTACAGTGAAGTGCAGCAGTTATCACATGGTACTTGGTAGTGGTCAAATAGGATATACAAACCAACTTTTGGATTGCCGCCTTCTTGAAAACTCAGAGACATTCTGGATTGGGACAGCAGTAAAATCACAGACTAGCTCTTGTAAATGTTGAAAACACCTTATGTCCCCAAGAAAAACAATTAGTGTCCGAAAAATGCTTGTAATTCTGGTAGTGTCAGTGTCATTGATTTAACACCCACCTCAAGCTGCAAAAACAGGCCATTCACAAATCATCATGGTACTGACGTCACAATGAGCACATTAAAATGGCCTGATGAACATCAGTGTGAACTATGTTGGTATGCCGTAGCTAGCCAACCTCAATAACAACGTGTGCTGAATCTAACCAAAGTCTTTAAAATATGTTCAGTGTACCCTTCTCCAGGTAAGTTTGTGGAGCCCAGGGTGGGTCTTCTTCAGCATAAGGGTCACTGTACTCCACCACAGAAGACTCCTCTTGCTCATAGTCTTCTGGAGGTGGAACTGGGTTTTGTGTTTCCTCAAACACCGCCTCTTCTGAAGGGGGAGGTGGGGGAGGTGCATCTGAAACAGAGTAGAGAAATGAACAGGAGGCACATAGACCAGGATTCCTTTAGACGGGAAGGCCATGCAAGCTCATGGATCCATGCAGACAGCGCAAGAGGTAAATGAATGGTTTACTGTGAGAAAGAAACAGTGATGGAATTTTCACTCCTAATATTCTCAGATAGACAGACACATAGACATAGGAATGCACCTGTATAGAAAAATGACAATGCAATCAGCCTGCCTTTAATATATCATACAACTGGACTGTTTTGCATTTACATATGCAAACTGAAGTGTATGTTAGGGGTGTAACAATACACTCAAGTTCATGTCACGTATACAATACTGATCTCGTGATTTAATACCAAAATAGTTAAAAAAGTATGTTTTTAGAAATTATTACTTTCAACACATGGTAAACAGTTAAAAAGTATTGTTCAGTAAAATACTAAATTTGGTATTATTTCAGTGGTGGATTATTATATTGGGCTTGGTCCTTTTCCCCATGCACCCCCATCTCCCCCCATACTGCACAGCTAAAAATACAGAATTATCTTAGACACAATAGCTTGCACTGATTACATGTATTTAACTTTTAAATATTGAATTTTTTTTTAAATAATGTATTTTATTTTGAATGTATTAATAATAATACATGGAAGCTCATAAATGTACAACATATTGTTATACCCCTACTGCATATGTAAGATTCTTTTAAAAACGAGGGCTGCCAATTTAACGTACATGCAAGGTAAAAAAAACACTTTCATTTTCTTATAATATGCATTGAATTTTACGTTATTTCTCAATGACTCTCAAAAGATTCATTCGAAGATTCATCTTTCTAAACCCCTCCTTCGCGTGAGGCTACTGTGCTCTTATTGGTCAGATGACCCAGTCTGTTGTGATTGGTCTACTGCACACAGCGCATGTCGGAAAAGGAATGCCCATCACCAGTACTGGAATACAGCTTAACAATAATACATCCTATTATAATAATGATAGTGCTCCACTTTGTTCTAAAAGGAAAGAATCAGAGGGGAAAAAGTTGTTTTACACTTATGTTAGCAAACCGGACCCACATCTTGGTAGTAAAGACCAAAAGTAATATGCGTTAGCCGATGAAGGGGGAGGTGGGGGAGGTGCATCTGAAACAGAGTAGAGAAATGAACAGGAGGCACATAGACCAGGATTCCTTTAGACGGGAAGGCCATGCAAGCTCATGGATCCATGCAGACAGCGCAAGAGGTAAATGAATGGTTTACTGTGAGAAAGAAACAGTGATGGAATTTTCACTCCTAATATTCTCAGATAGACAGACACATACAGACATAGGAATGCACCTGTATAGAAAAATGACAATGCAATCAGCCTGCCTTTAATATATCATACAACTGGACTGTTTTGCATTTACATATGCAAACTGAAGTGTATGTTAGGGGTGTAACAATACACTCAAGTTCATGTCACGTATACAATACTGATCTCGTGATTTAATACCAAAATAGTTAAAAAAGTATGTTTTTAGAAATTATTACTTTCAACACATGGTAAACAGTTAAAAAGTATTGTTCAGTAAAATACTAAATTTGGTATTATTTCAGTGGTGGATTATTATATTGGGCTTGGTCCTTTTCCCCATGCACCCCCATCTCCCCCCATACTGCACAGCTAAAAATACAGAATTATCTTAGACACAATAGCTTGCACTGATTACATGTATTTAACTTTTAAATATTGAATTTTTTTTTAAATAATGTATTTTATTTTGAATGTATTAATAATAATACATGGAAGCTCATAAATGTACAACATATTGTTATACCCCTACTGCATATGTAAGATTCTTTTAAAAACGAGGGCTGCCAATTTAACGTACATGCAAGGTAAAAAAAACACTTTCATTTTCTTATAATATGCATTGAATTTTACGTTATTTCTCAATGACTCTCAAAAGATTCATTCGAAGATTCATCTTTCTAAACCCCTCCTTCGCGTGAGGCTACTGTGCTCTTATTGGTCAGATGACCCAGTCTGTTGTGATTGGTCTACTGCACACAGCGCATGTCGGAAAAGGAATGCCCATCACCAGTACTGGAATACAGCTTAACAATAATACATCCTATTATAATAATGATAGTGCTCCACTTTGTTCTAAAAAGAAAGAATCAGAGGGGAAAAAGTTGTTTTACACTTATGTTAGCAAACCGGACCCACATCTTGGTAGTAAAGACCAAAAGTAATATGCGTTAGCCGAACACAGACAGAGTACTGATAAAGCACTGCAGTTTGCAAACCAACGTATTGCTCCATCTGTAATCATGACTCCAAGTACAACAGACATTCTATATTAATCGACACATTTCTAGACAATAGCCGGCCCACAGCTGATTAGCAGAACTATAACATGAGTTAACAAACTGGTCACTGACCCATCTTTCAAAGACAACCAGTTTACGAATCCCGCATTGAACTCACAGAGATTAGAGAAGCAGTCGTCAGTGAAATGACGAGAACACACTGATTATACTGCTGTGGTATCCTAGTAAAGATGAATTGCGTAAATAGATTTTGGATTTAGGAATTTGGATATTAACATGTAACATTTTAATTATATTCTGCTGAAATTAACGAAATAACTTGAAAAATGATTTGTTCATTTTGCTGAACAAGATTCAAAGATCCGAGTCAGTAAAATGATACGAACTTTCCATCACTATTAATCATACTTACAGGTTGCGAATTGGAGGAGCAAGCTGGTCCAAACAAACTGGGCACTGACTCACATTTCAAAGACAACCAGTTTACAAATCCCGCATTGAACTCGCGGAGATTGGAGATGCAGTCATCAGTGAAATGACGGGAACACAGCAAACAATTGTGATTATACTGCTGTGGTCTCTTAGTAAAGATGAATTTTAACCACTGATTCTTCACAGCCTCATCCTTTGGAAGTGAAAATTAAACAAATTCACTTTCACAGCGAAGAGCACAGTGTCTTCTTGACATTACGTTATCCACACGAACCAGCTACAGCGTTTGAAGTTTGTTTCCGCGGGATTTCCACGCAGAACGTAGACAATGTAAGAATTTGTGACGTGTGAAATTCGCGGAATAGGATTCGAATTTAAAACGACTCGTTTCAGCGGTTCAGAGTCGAATCTTTCTTTTGAGAGACAATGCACTTTCAGCTTTACAACTTTGCAGACTGTTTACATTCACACTGCATGAAATGTAATTTTCAAAATTGGTCGAAACTGATACGATACTAGCAGTTTTTTTTTTTTTAAATCAATGTAGAACTTTTATACCTCTCTGTGTGTTGATTACTAAATATACTTAACTTCATAATACAGAAAAATAACAAGTGAAAAAAATATAAAATCATAATCTATGACAAAAAAATACTATTATAAACTAGGTTAGTGGATAATTCAGCAGCAAAAGGTACTCTAGAAAAATGATGAATGCACAATAATTTAATAAAACCTGAACATTAAGAGAAAAAAACATTATATAGTGGGGAAAAAATAAGTGAATAAGTGTAGGTTAACAAATGCTTAGTTTGTGGTTCATTGTTTTATTTATTTATTTATTTATTTAGGCTATATTTAATGAAAACAGCAACAATAAAGACAACTCGCTTATATTAAACGAAGAAATTAAACTTTTATTAACAAAAGGTGCGCTTTTGGATCATAGTGTCTCGCAAGACTTTTATTTCTCAGCCCCCCCTGCTCAAAATACGTTGGCTATGCATCACACCAGCCCCCCTGCTCAAAATACGTTCCCACGGCTATGTCTGCACCTCACATTAAACTATGGAACGGCTTCAGAACACTTGGAATATAGTGCACGAAAACTTTATGGTGCTTTATAATGTTTTTGTGCCTTTTGTGGGGCTTAACAATAACAGTATATGCACAGTATCCGATTTGGATCGGTCTTGTCTGACCAATACCCGATCTGGCAGAAAATGGCAGTATCAGAGCCGATATAGATACTCAGTATCGGATCGGTGCATCCCTAAAAAGTACTCAACCTTGCTTTTCTCTTAATTTGTGTCTCCTAAACAGCCACACAATGTATCTCTCAACAAAAAAACCAGCTCACATTAATAAATACATTTTGCTGAAATAAAATCATGCTATTTTGCCAGTGACATTTCAACCCCAGACTCTCATTACCATAATGTGTGCCCAATCATATTTCCACAACTGTAATACATATTTTTACCATATTACAGTAAACGAATTACTGTACTTTTATAAAATAAGCATAAATTAAAGGACAAAAATACTACTCTTTTCCACAGTACAATGATGAGAATTCACATAGAAATCTGCTTAATTGTCATGAAAATAAATGTCAAAAAGAAAATCTTAATTGTCCAGAAAAAAAAGGCTTTTTAAAAAAAAAATGAAACTATTGACCAGTTCTTGGCAGGTTTGTGAGATTCACCCAACAGTTTTACCAGATATGTACAGATTTACAACTTCCCTTCACTTCACTTGCATATGCATTTCATGAGGGAATGAGCTTTAGCTGTGTTGCTGACCTGTCCATTAAGCAACACACAATCTGGCCTGCAATGACCAGCTATCATGGGGCGACACAGGAAACCAAAAGAGAGCCAATCTTCACAGCCAGTGCTCAGAAAACAGGGCAGGACACACCCTCTGTCCTCAGTGCTCAAAACATCAAGCCCCGTCTTAATAATGAACATGCTTTAAAAAATTAAGCATATCAGATCTTTCATAATCACAGTTTCACGCTTTCACAATTTTTGATGCATATTTAAAACACTGACCCAAATTTTTCTGACCCAAATATAAATCAGGCTCTTCAATGGCATAAAGGGAAACAAGGGATGTAATGGATAATGTCATCTGTGCGGCTGAGGCTGAATTCTCCGAGGAATAAAGACATGACCCACACATGTGCCCCTGAGTCACATCACGCTGTGCATGACCTACACTGAAAAACAGGCTTTTACTAGGAAATGAAAACCTCACTGATGTTGCTGTAGAAACATTATCATAAAAAACACTCTTTTAAATTATCGGACAAGTTGAAAGTGTCAAAGTACCAGTCAAATGTTTGACACAATGATCTACATAATGGAATAATGACGAATTAGTAGGCGTGTCGACACATTTGACTGGTACTGCATATTAGAACTTGTCATTCATTTCATTTATCATAAAAACACTGCTGAATAAATTTAAAGGGATCATATGATGCAATTTAATTTTTTCCTTTCTCTTTGGAGTGTTACAAGCTCTTGGTGCATAAAGAAGATCTGTAAATTTGCAAAGACTAAAGTCTCAAATCCAAAGAGATATTCTTTATAAAAGTTAAGAGTCAGCCACGCCTACCTAAAACGGCTCGTTCGAACACGCCCCCACATATCTACCTCACTATGTGGGAAGATTTGCATAACGCCGCCCAAATGTTCATGCAAAGAAAGAAGGCGTAACTTTTATTCTCGCCGTAGTATTGTTGCCGCTGCTGCCATGTCGTGAAGACGCTGTGTGCTTCGTTGTGAAAGCGAAACTACTTTGTTTGGTCTTACAAAAGAGGACGATATCCGCTTCGTCATGCCTAGAGCTGATCTGTGCTGGTCGCTGAGGAAATACATCAACTTAGTGCTGTGGATTGCCAGCACATTTTATGGAGGACTGTTTACTGATCCTAGGAGAGTAACGTTAGACTAAAATGCCGGCAGTTCTGACTCACGTAAGTACGTTTTCATTTAAAGGATTTGCCACTGATGATTCAAACGCGAGTTTTGGGCAGTGTAGAATAGCACTTGTTGTTTGTCATTTCTCTGATCACAAATGCAGACATGGTTTTATGTTTACGCGGCGCAATGCAACGCAACGCGTAAAACGACAGTATAAGTCATTATAATCAGTAATTATGTCCCCACTGGATGCAACAAATGCCTCGTTTGTAATGGGTTTTCATGTTTTTGTCTCGTTGCTCCGGCCGGACAGGGCATCATCACAGTATGGTGAGGGGCGTAACATTTCCGTCACACGCCTGAGATATTCCGCCAATCACAACGCATTGGATAACTGGCCAATCAGAGCACACCTCGCTTTTTCAGAACGATGAGCTTTGTAAAAAT